TGCTCAGGCTCTCTTTTTTTTGCTTCTCTAACTCTCTCTCTCTCTCTATCTCTCTCTCTCTCTCTCTTTCAAGTTTCGGACATAAATTTCACACCACTCCGCAACTCTTGGAAACGTACCCACTTGGGATCTGTGCGGTGCTTTGGGGAGACCAGTAGGGGTCTCCCACGACTCGCTGCGCCACGCGGTCGTCGGTGGTCGGTCTCTGAGGCTTCCCGACCAAAAGGAAGCCTCGGTCCATGAGAACAAACCTGGTGGGGTGGTTTCATGAGGAACTGACTTGTGATTATATAGCAGGGATACGGATAATAATAGGGAATGGGTTATACGTAACTCAGTAGGGAAGATGTTTGGGATCTCATTCCGTTCTTCCATCTTATTCCCTACGAAGCACCAGTGAGAAAAGGACACCAATCACCCAAATGAACCATGAAGAAGAGAACAACACGTGGATTTTTGTTCTGTCTGTTGACTATGGTGAGCACATACCATTCGAGCATTTTGAGGATATGTGTTGGGAAGAAAGTGGACCAGCAGCTGGAGGAACGGATCTACAACGACTGATTGAATGCTAAAAATACAGAAATAGCTACTTACCAAGTTTAACAGTGGGAATTCTGGACTCCACGGGCCCACTCCAGCGCTAGCACTTTCCACCGCTGGACCGGCTGAGATGGGCACAGTACTGGATGCCAGCTCTTGCGTGATCATTTGGCCAAACCTTGGAGCATTGATTCTCACGAAGCCGATCGCTAAGCCGGCGCTAAGAACACCAAAGACCTGGGATGAGTCAGAGACAAAACTAAACACATCAGGGATTTTGTGGGAACACTCCGGATTCTTCTGCAGAATGCATCACAAAACCAAGACACTACAAAAAAGACAACCAACCAACCAAACAACAAATACGAAAACAGCAACACGTCTCAAACGGCCGCTCGACGCGTCTCGCCCAGTCGTTGCTCGTTGTCCCGGGCGGGCGCCCCCGACACGCCGCTGACATCGAGCAGCTCCTGGGTCTCCCATTGCAAGGCCTCCGGAGACAGCTTCCACACGGACGAAGAACGGCGAGAAGAAGCCATGCCGGCAGAACGGGGGGCACCGGCGGCGTGCGAGTGCCGGTCGCTGAAAAGGACCTTCAAACACGCACAAAATACTGACTGGTGCGACTCGTAGAGAATGAGGGAATGAGCCCCCAATTCCTTTGGATCCATTCCCGCATTCCATACTAAGCACCAGTCAGAATATGAGGGTCCAATCATAAAATTGTCCAGTGAAAGTTGGTAGAATGTGATAGACACTGATGGTCATAGTCCCAATGGATCTTGATGCAGTTGTAGTATGTACAGCCAGTGTTTCCAGGAAACATCCAATAGACGTCCAAGTTCCAAGCATCAATTAAATAATGAATGGCGTCACCAGCGGGGTCTGCACTACCTACTCCCGCCCTATAGCAGGCAACCTCAAAACATGCCACCCCCACCTCCTCAGCAAAAGGCTTAAGTGCCCCAGACTCTCCGTCCTTCCTCCCTCATCTATCCCAAGAAGTGCCAACGACACACTCCCAACGACTCTCCACGTCCACACCCGCGCGCACCGCGGGACCCACACCGCGCCAGGTGCCCACTGTGGGGGAAGAAGACCTTCGCTGCGTCCACCCAGGGCCCTCGGAAGTCGGACCTGACCGGAGAGGACGCTTGGAGGACTTGGTTTGGGTGGTTGTCAGAATGCTGGTCACGGTGGTCACGGTCAGACATCAGGGTGGTCTTGATGAGGATCTTAAAATCAAAAACACATATAGCATCATATAGCATGAATGGCACCGTTGGTGGTTTCAACAGGATGAATCATCACTGGTCAAAAATATGTTTGAAACATACACTTAAACCACACCAAACCACACCCCCACATGGTTTAACACACCTTTAGATACTTTACTTTCAGATTAAAGAACCCATAACAACCCCCACTCCGCCCCCCCCAAAAAAAACAACGAACCATCGGGTAGGTGTGGGGTGGCTCATGTTGGAAGTTGTAGCTTGTATATAGCCCGAGAAGAAACACAGCTTTGGGCTGGGCGAATGTAGATGTCACATGTGTCACCTGGTGAATCCTGTAGATACCAGTATATAGGTTTCCATATGTGTCCGCGATATTTGCCGGAAAAGGGCGGCTTAGTGAGCAATGTGGCAATCATAACATGCTTATGTACAATATGCTTGCGTATTGTCTTCCAATTGATGCTGTGAAGCAGGAGCAGGTCAAGCACCGAAACCAGAATCTAAACAAAAAAAACTTTTCAACCCACATCCTCCCCTACTACGGGTCGCTAGGTCTGTCGTGGTGGCTACAAAGCGTTGAACATCTTGTAACACGTCCGTCGCATGGATGTGCAATAAAACAGGGAGACCTCTCAGTTCGACCCCCTGGCAAAGGGGAAATAGACCAACAACTCACAACAACTCATCTTCTTGGGGTTTCTCCCATGCTCTGCGCGGCTTGCTAAACACTCCGCATGCGCGGCCCCCACGAGACGCTGGAGCCAGGTCACCGATCTTTGATCCAGCCCGAGACGAAGAGCGCCAGGTGCACCGAGCGCTGCACCTGCGCGCGCGTTTCGCGCCTTCGCGCCGCACGTGTTTTTTCCGACCAGGCAACCAAGCAGGTCTAGGCAAGCAATTCAGGTCCATTCCGGCAGGATCCAAGCAGGTCTAGGCACCAGCTTACTGAGAGAATTCCTTGCCAACCTCCCTATATGCTTCATCAAAAAATGAGCAGGCCTGTAAGCCTGAAGGATCAAACACTTAGAGGCTCAGCTGGTGGTGCAGCAGCAACGCCTAACAGAATCCACTTTTTACACTCCGAAAAACTAACATGGACCCTGAGAATGGCACGCCCGAAAGACTGTTTTCCTCTACAAACCGAGTGCTTTTCAGGGTCCAGGTTAGCTTTTCCAGTGAAGTAGATTTCTGGAACCTTGACTTTAGGAGCCCAGACTTCCGCCACCCTCAGCTGTTCCAACCTGATCCACAGCATGCTGAAACTCGTAGCACACCGTCAGCGCGTCGGAACTCAGCGGCGCGAGGCTCAGCATGAAGTCGAAAACGACGAGTGGAACAACGAGAAGCCGCAAACGATGAGGACCGGTGTGGCATTTGGGTAATAAATCGGCCACCCCACCCCGCCAATACACATACACAAACAGATTGAAGAATGACATAGCCCAGCCGTTGCGGTTCGTCAATGTTAAAGACACATCTTGAAAGCAAACGAAAGCGGAACACTCGTAACAAGTGGATAAGTTTGAAGATTCTTGGATTCTTGTGGAACAAAACCCCGAACGCATACTGGTCCAACGGGGCAGCTGGACCAGGGTACATTGAGATTGGCATGCCCATGCAGAGTAAAACATGGTGCAACCACCTCTCAAGTGAGGTACGTTAATAGTTGAAAGCCCAACACTGCCACCATCCCACAGGATTTCTCCACACCACCATGGCAAGCAAGCCCTGAGCCTTTGGCTTCTCGCGTGGGCAGGTTTGACGTCCTCAGATGGTCTGAGTCATTTGTGACACTTCTTGGTTTAGGTGCACGGGCGGGAACCGAGAAAAACCTGCAGTTGAAGAAAAATAGTGTGCACCATCTAAGCGAGGGGAAGGACATGCATATACCGATGATCACATTGTTTGTCCAAACCAACCAATGGTGCTGAAGACAGTGAACATGGGGAACATGGGGCACCAGGTCAAGCTGCCAAGGAACCGCCAATGTTGGAACCTCATCACTACAATGACACGTGCAGTGAAGGTCTCAACAACAGGAGTACATAGATCCGTTCATTTCCAGTCTACCACTCGTGTGATCCGACAGCGTCCACTGCTCTGAGCAGCCCACGGATCAGCTCGCTACCTGACAGCCGAGTTCCCGCGAGTATAGGGCACTTTGGATCTCCATACGTCTTTATCCATAAACTTCCCTAGTTCAAAATATGTTTTTCTCCGTTTTCTCCATATGTCTTGCAGGGATCTTATCATCCTGGACCTTGGAACCTGCCACCCCTGACAAACCAAAGGAGACCGGAGGGTGCAGCTTGAGAGTCCATTGGCTTTGATCGTCATCTAAAAAAATCGAATCTCCTTTTTGATGGAGCAAACATTTATCAGCTTCTAGGCGGCTAGGCGTCCACACCAGTGGCCCAACAAACCCAAACCACCAGTTTGCACAGGCTTTTGTAGAGGAATTGAGCCTTTTTACAGGTCCATGTCCATGGTTCTGGGCCTGGCTTGCACACGAAAAATCTGACGCACATTGAACTCCATTACTCAATACAATGAGTCAGATTGTGCTCAATCAGGGCGAAGGCTGTCCCACATACACCAGTCATGTATGGGCGCAAGCAATTTGAAGCTTGAACTTGAACCTCAAGGACTACCAATGCACTCTGAAAAACAACATTAAAATTGCATTCTCAAGACCAAAGACGGTAGACTCAGCTGGTCTGGCATCCCTGCGAATTGCAGCCCAGTTCGATAAGGTCCACAGAGCAGCCCCAATGTCCAGGATTCATACAAAAGGCCACTGCCATTTCTGGAAAAGTGTTCCAGGCAGCATTTCCAAACCAGTCAGCCAACACACGACAATATAAAATCCAGTTCCCCTTAGCTCGGATATCATTGCAAACAAATGGTGCAAAGACTTCCCACATGCTTGCTGGTTCCTGAAAGAGGCCTTCATGCTGCAATGATTCTGGCTTCTGGATGGCTTCTAGAGTTAATCGGTGCCAAGGCTTTGCCACACCACAGAGGCTACTTGCTGACTGCCCGTGCTCACAAGCTTCTGGCAAATCACTTCCACTGCAACATCCAAGTTCTTTTCCTGCCGAGGGCCATGCAATTGAATATTCTTCCCACAAGCTGCTTCCATCAGCCCAGTTGAGTGGACCCACTTGGACCCTCCGAATCTAAAAATATGAAGTGCATGTGGGGTGTCCAAAGCCAAATACAAAACATCTAACTTTTCAAATTTGATCCCTTGAAACACGCATGTCCAGCTAGCCTGAGACCAGCTGAGCCGGGCGGATTTGCACTCGACGCGCAAGCCATCTCGAATCCAGTCACATGATGAACCTGTAGCAGTTGAACTGGCATCTCCCGTGCCAGGATGACAAAGTACATCTGCTTCCTGCACCACACGCTGCAAGAACAGACCCCGTGCTGCTGGAGTCATAGAGTTCAACGGGTGCTGCGCATAAGCTTCGCGCTGCAATTTGAAAGAAATTGCCTGAGTGCGCTCCTCTAATGCTTGAAGAACCAGCTGATCGGAAGTCTTCAGCGAGGTGATGAATTCACCGGACAAATGTAGCTTCTTGAAACACACATCTTCGGCCTCTCTCCAATCACTTGTTTGGCTTTGAATGTGCAACCTGTGTCCACCATGACTTGTTCTCACGCCATTTGATGACAGCCTTGTCTTGCCGGCATGTTTGAACAAACTTAGGCCAGAAGGGCTGTACAATACTAATATCAAATCATCAAACAATGATAGTTTGATCCCGCAAAAATGGACCCTCCACTTGCACTCAGCTTCGCCGAAATACATTTGAGCCGACTTGCACTGCACTCGTCTGTCATCATGAAGCCAGTCATACTCGGCAACCCAAAGGCTACGCCTACCTCCGTTGCACCTCTGCCCTGGAATTGGGTCCTTAATGACCGAATAGGAATACAGCATTTCCATTGTACGTCGAGCAACAGTTTCCAGCACACAACCCCGGAGTTGCGGAGTGATGCCGTTGAGTGGACAGTCGGCATAGGCAGCTGCAGTGACTGATGGCTTCCCCACATCTCTGGACACATCCAAAGAAAACAACGGGATGATGGTAGCACATCGCAGGCCTGGCCTGGCCAAAACACAGGTGATATTCCAGCATGTGCTGGCCCAATGTATCATGCTCGAGGGCAGTTTTGAGCCAAGGCTTGCTGACATTTTGACAAGAGTCAGTTTTGGTTGACGTGCATCTCGATCACCGATTGCACCCAGGTGTTTGCATCTTAAACATGTCCAAACATGTCAAATTATGTCAATAAGAATTCCCAAGCCCTACATCCATGCACGTCAACCATGTTGTATCTACGTTGTCTCTGGCCCCTTGGTCATCCAACTCTTCACTCCCCACGCAGTCGGCCGAGTCCAGCGTCGTCCAAAAGGAGCCGCCGCCTTTGCGGAGGGCATGCAGGCCGCCGTTGGCCAAGGGGATCGCAGCATCCTCTTTGAGCACGCCTGCCTGGGCAGGCTCTGGGCTCGGCTCGGTGGGTCTTCACCTGCTCGGCTCACACTCAGGTTGCTGGAAAGGGTCACAACCTTGCATCGATTGTGATGCTTCGAAATAGAATTGTCGCGTTTCGCATCGACCTTTTGGGGGCACAGGATCGTTGTTGTATTGCTGTTTTGGGGTCATGCGCGGGTCATGTCAAAGTGAGTTTGGTCATAGCGGTTCTTGTAGGGTAATAGCAAATTGCACCTATAGTCTAGTGCTTTGTGGTATAGCAAGCCTCATGCACTTCAAGACTGACATGTTCAACCAAAATTGAAAAGACTTGGAAGCAGCTCAAACTTGGAAGCAGCTCAGTTGGAACCACTGAGACACCACCTCCGAAGAACCATACATACCTAGAATGGATGAAGGTCATCCTGCCAAGTGGTCTGGCCCAATGGTGCTGCGGCCCCCACGTTGCTGCGTGTTGCTTCATCCAAGGCTGTGATTGCGGCCTGCAGATAGAAGGAAGCAGTATGCGCTTGGACCCAACGCAAAAGAGGAGTGAAGAGGGTACTGCGCGGACAGCATGAACTGCATATTAACTACATGTGGGACAAACTATCCACAAATACTTATATAGAAGGCCACAATAGCTAGTTTTCCCTGGATTTGTTTCGAGGTCCTAAAAGACTGGCCAAGTCTCATTAAAAAGTGGTTGAGTCACTGGCTTGCATCTGTCAATCGTAGGTTGTATCCCTGGGATCTCAACCAAACTTGTGCGACATGATGGCAATGAGTACCACCTGCCACGACTTCGGGGTCCCGACGTATAACCTGCTTCCAAAGTCCAAGGTCCCAACCAGTTCTGACCAGTCCACTGTGCAAAACCCTTCTTCCAAGCCTACCTTAGCCACTGCGAGCCACACACTCGAAGCAACAAGGAACTTTCCGTTGCCACCGCCGGGTCACCGCTCCGCCGTCACCGCTCCGCCTGGTCTTCGACCTCCACTTTCTCTTGGACCAGCCTCTCCGGGTCTCGCTGTGCGCAGCGAGAGCGCACGCGCCGTTGGTCTCAGGTGACTGAGGTGTTTGGAGGGCGTGGCACGGAGTTCAAAAGTCAGGCCTGGCCTTCAGCAACAGTCATCAGTACCAGGCTGATTCACAGCTTCAAGGAAGAGGAGTCATCATAGACATGTCCAAGTCAATGACTACGTTTGACGTACTTGTAGACAATGGCCTATGCTTGCCTCCAAAGGCGTGGATATGGCTCAACCGGGGTCGTCATAGCTATAGGCAGGCAGCTAGGCACTCTCACTAAAGCATCTGCCCGGCCTCTGGCTGTTCTCCAAGGGCTGGAACTCGAACTCCTGGCGCAAAAAGCCGACATGTCACCTCTGGTTTTGTAATGTATAGGCTCATCATTAATAACCCCCCACCTTTGGATGCACGCACTTGCGGACCGTCAGTAGTCGGACGCGCCCACCTTTGGATTGAAGAACCTCTTCATCATCTTCATATGGGTTTATTAATCAAAGGAGTCAAGTCTCTACATTAGGGGGAGCATTGTCCTTCACAAACTCTTCACCTCATTCTCCAGGCACTTTCTGCGTCCGTTCTGGTTACATGGCCGTTTCCGGAACGAACTATGGAGTGACCACTCGCTAACTGATTTCGGCGCATTACAGCGGTATTGCTGCCCTCACACAAGGCAAGTTGCGGCAGTTGCCCTACTTCCGCCAACAATCAAAAAGCTTTCTGAGGATCTAACCCTTTGAAACCACACAAGCAGTCATCTGTGAGCAGGTGTGGATAAACAGAGCAAGAATCCAACCCAAAAATACAACTTCATGCGAGTCAAACGAACCATGTATTGGTACAAGAAACTATTTGTTCGCACCTGCCCTGACACTCGGCCAATTGTATGATTACTCATGCCCAGCTAAGCTGCGGGATTGCCTCAGGGTATCAAACTACATCAAACTACGATCAGGGTTTCAGCTCTGAAGGCACATGCTTGGCTTGTTCCATCAGGGGCTTTGGCATACACTTGTCAGAAAAGCAGCAGTATCTCTCCATGCTTTCGGAGTTCGATAGCTGCATTGTTGATTGGATAGCTCTGCAGCCAGCCCAGGGCTGGATGTTGGGAATGCTGGGCGTGCCATTCATTTCCCAGCTCCCAAGAGCTTCCTCTGATCTCACCCTAGGGCTGTCCCATCTCCTCAGGTGACCGCTGGTATTCGACCCCCCTGGCACCCCTGGCCCATCGAACAACGAAGGTGGGCCAGGAGCCCCAAACAGGGTCACCACCCAACTGGAACCGAGGAACGACACACCGCACGACCGAGAAACGGGGGCAGATCGTCTCAGGGCCGCGCCTCCAGGTCCCCCCAGCGATGTGACATCTTCCAGCCCGTCATGCCGGCACCTGGAGGATGGCAAGGCGAAATGGTGGTTGCATCGGATGGCACATGGAATCTGGTGGTTTCATGTGACGAAACATATATGAGTCAGTGGGTGAAAATCATCCCAAGTACAGGTTGAACATATATCTGAAACCAAATGCCTGATGGCACAGAATGGCTACTGTGAGGTTGGTCACCTGCCCTAAGACCCTGAATGGTCGAAAAGTCGAAAGGGAAGAAACGGAAGAGTCGAAATCATGTCCAAATCACTCTTCCTGGAGTCTCAACATCCTGGTCATTCTGGCTATAGAATGCTCAAACTGATTCTCACATGATCGGGACCAGGACTCGGCACCTCGCCTGTCGCCCCAAAGAGGGCCACAGCACCGGCGGTACCTGGAGGCGCAGGTCGGAATGGGCAGGTCGGATGTGCAGGACCCTGTCCTTGAGGAACCAGGAGAAACATCCTTCGCATAGTGTTCACCAAAAGGGTACTTGGGATTTTAATGGATTGAGCCGGAAAAAACACATAATTCACGTGAATTCATTTATAAGCAAACACCAGGAGCTATTGCTAGTAAAACAGCGAAACACGTTGAGTCAATTTGTAGATGTAAATTGCTGATGAGGCCGAACTGCTGATGAGGCTGGGGAGAATCACCAGATTTGGGGCCATTCTCCATTCGTGTGGATAACAAACTCAAAACAAACAACTCTATGAAAGGAACAAGGAACACTCTCAAGGTGTGTGTGGGCATGGATGGATTGTTGTTCGCTTTTCGGTTGACCATTCTACTATTATTCGTTACTATCTGTCAACCATGCTGACCTCTTGGCGCCTTTGCAGAAGATTTATCTCGATGCTTCGATCCGTTTGTTGCATTTCATGTGAAGCTTTGAAGGCTTCGTCCAAGTACTCGATCTGTGCCAGCACCACCCAAAGGGTTGTTTATTGACCCCCCTGAAGATCTATTTCCATCTAATAACCACCCCTTGGGTGGTGCTGGTGGGTTCATGTAGACTGATGATGCTGCAGCTGACATTCTATGATCCGAGTGGCTCGAGCGTGATCTCTGGTTTCATGGTCAATTTCGATGCCATGATGCCACCAGCAGTTTCGATGCCAGGATTACAAGCAAATGTCTGGCGCCAAGATAAGCACCCCCTGGCACGCATATGCGGCTATATTGCTAGTCTTGCAGCAATGAATCAATTGCTTTGTGGTCGTCGAGTTTCCATCCGCACATCCAGCCAAGCCCGCCCCCGCCGCAACGAAGGGCCGGATGGGCACCGAGGGAGCTCAGGATGGCGCCCAGCCCCACGCCGAGGCCACTGATGGCACCTGGTGGACCATTATGTGCGTGCCATGGCGGCCGTCTGAGAGGGGTGGACGCCTGATGACATTTAATTCGTATATAGGTATGGGATTCATGTAACTCTGAATGTATGGTGTTTCTTCTTTTTGAAATTTGTAGATGACATCAAGTGGGAATTTCTATGGGATGTGTTTAATTAATTCAAGTGACTCTGAATAGGCCACTCTACAGCTATTGGTTGATTGGTTGCTATAAGCAGTTGATTGAGTTGTCATCTAAAGCTCCACAAGAAAAGGCCTCCAACCAGCATCCCAGCTTGCGCCAAACCTGACATTCACGCAGTGGGTGGCAGCCTACTCTAGACTCCAGGAGTAGAACTGGGGAACCTATCAAGGGCCAAGGGATTGTGAATCCAAGGCTTCGTGGTGGCAAGCTTGGGCATCTGAAACTTGCTCTGTCTTCATGTCTTCATCTTGGGCTCCCTACAGTGTTGCTTTTGCTGGTGCCATCATTCCCAACGAATACATTATTTTCTAAGCTGCTTGATGCTGCTTGATCTCTCTGCACAGTGCGCACTTCCCACGGAAAGGCATGCGTGCAAACTGACAAGTGACAAGAATGTGCCACGTGTCTCTGCTTCCAGTCTGGACTTGGAGAGCTTGCATCTTCAAGGTCCTCCACGGGTCGTCTGTGGTGGGAAATGGATTGAACTGATATGACTTCATGACCCCCTTCAGCTTGCTGGCTTCAAACACCCCAAGGCCACTCGAACACTGAATAATCCTCAACATCGAATATCATCCCCCTCCAACTCCCACCCAGTCGGCTGCATTTGAGTGCTGAGGGTTCCCAACCCACAGCGGCGCCCACGGCAGCCGCTTGTGCACCAACAGCAGCAGCCTGAGGGTGCTTGGGAGTAAACAACCTCAAATACACCCACTTCCAACCAAAATTGAACACAAACAGCCAACATAAAAGAACAAATGACACCTTATGAAATGTTAATTATGAAACGTCAGAAACGTTTTGCCGGTCCATGCAAGTATATCCCACATGTTTGCAAATTCGTCCTCACTGTTTAATGGTTCGTTTTCTTCGTCTTGATGGGTGGGGAGTTGAACAAGCTTTCAAAGTTTCAAACCATGTTCAGACCCTCCGCGTAGGGCAATGCATTCCTGTCCACACCTTTGCATTGTTATTTGGTTTCAAAAGTGTGTTGATAGCTTTGGCCTCCTTTCTATAGGAGAACCCGTCCAGCAGACCGAGCGACAGCAACTGTATGGGTGTCCCCGCTCCAGCTGCCAAGGCTGGCGCCACCACTGGAGCCTCAAATTTCGTCATGAAAGGATGGGATTTTGGGATCTGAACGGTTCGCCCGTGTTTTTCGCTTGCCCGAACTGAGTGAGATCGATCTCTGCATCGAAAGCGAAGGACACGAGCCCGGTCCAACCCCCCCTCCCAAAAGCCGAACACCCAAGGTTTCCGCCAGGAAGAAGAAGCTACGAACGGGGCTCCTGGCCTTACTACTATAGTCTACTATAAGGGCTCCTGGTCGTAGTACTAGGAGCAAGGACGATAGCCACATGATGCCCGCATGAGCCACCATACCTTGGCTCCCCTTGTGTCGCCAAGCCAGTGACGAGTCGCTTCGCACCAACATGCCGTCCAAACCGATGGATCGCTGGTGCTCGCCACGGGGTTCCCGACCGCCAGGCCCCCGGTGACGGCCATTAAGATGCCACCACCGGCCGCGGCCAAAGCCACCTGACGCGCGGAGCGATCGACGGAGATCCACCGAGCAGGGTGAGTTGACCACAAGGGACCACAAGGGACAAGCCACCAGACCTACTATAGGGACCCTTAAAGGTCAACCCACCAGATATTTTTTTAAAAAAAACCTTATATGACGTACAAACAACTTATTGGCCAATTTTTCCCGAATGCGTAGCGAAGGGTTCCCGATGGTTCCCGTTTATAGTTGGGGGTCTGGGGGTTGGAGCTGTGTTCGCGTGGCGTGCGTCGTGTCGTCGTTTGTCGTCGTCGTCGCGTCTCAAATTTGCTGCCATTGGGGGAAGCTTTTGCAAGTGACTTTTCATGGATGTGTCACGTGTCAGTTTGCGCCGCTATTCCATTGTGATTTGCATGACACCGACATGTCGCGTAAGAAACGTGATGCGTTTCGCTGCACAGGTGCGGCGTTTTGTGAGATCCGCAGTTTGCCGCGCAGTTCCATTGGGATTAGCGTTTGGAGAGTCGTGTTTTTGGGGTGTTGGATGTGGCCGTGCCATTGGGAATTGCGTTTCAGGGTGTGGCGTGGAAGCTCGGTTTTCGTGACAAGTCTCAGCTGAAATGGCGATTTTGGTGGATGGGAGTGTGCTCAGAACGGATCGAAATCATTCCAAACGTGTGGTGTGGTGCAAATTTTGTTGAAGCTCACATGAGATGATATTGTCACTTTTCGTGGCAGGCGCAGGACTTCCTGCGGTTTTTGAGGCGTGGAAGTGCGATTCTCGTGGCAGGCGCAGGGAATCGTGAGGTTGCGAGGTGTCAGGCAGGTGAAATCTCGTGGCAGGCGCAGGACTTTGTGCGCGTTAGACGTGTGGATGGGGAAAGATTCGTGGCAGGCGCAGGGAATCGTGAGGTTGTGAATTGTGGTAGAGGTGAACGTCGCTGTCACATTGGGATTGGCGTGTGAGTGGGTGTTGTTTGGAGGAGCTGGAATCGCGAAACTGCTTGGCAGGGCTGCGTGATGTGTGTGCTCCGATGGGTGTTTCCGCTTGACTTTTGGAGGAAGTCTCGTACGAAACGCTCTTTTTGGAGACTTGACCTGTGAGTTTTTGAGGAAGTCTCGTACCAAACGCTCGTTTTGGAGACTTGACGTGTGAGTTTTTGAGGAAGTCTCGTACGAAATGCTCTTTTTGGAGACTTGACGTGTGAGCTGGAAGCTGAGAACTGGCGACTTTGTGGTACAACTTTAGTGCGCGGAGTGTCCTGCAAGTGACCCACAAGAGTGTCTCACAAGAGTGTCCTACAAGAGTGTCCTACAAGAGTGTC